AAAAATTAGGTCATTTGTTTATTAAATTTATTTCCCTTTTGTTTATATCATGATGATGAATTCAGAGTGATAGGCTGCAATAAATGTTGTAATGGGAATGCACCTGAATATGGTTGTATGGAAAATCTAAACTTTTGGTTAGTTATCCCTCCCTATATATGATTTCTTTACATGATTTAATTGTGGAAGGAAATAATTGTTGTTCTTTTTTCTTGTTTTTGTGTTTGGTCTCATGTTTTATTCTTGTGACAATAAGTTATGGCTTGGTGATTTTCTGTGCAGACTTATTAGGTAGAGAAGCTCTTAATCATACAAGTGGGAACTCCTTTTGCCATCTTAAATAAGACACCGGAAACATCAAGGTAATTTAATCTCTTTTTACTCATTGCTATTAGATGCAATTTCATAAGTTCAAAAACTAAAAATAATAATAAATAAATAAATAAATCAGAGTCAATAATATGGTTTTTATCTAACTTATGATTTTAAATAATATATTCACACTCATAACTTATAAAAAGATCGATTACTAGTTATGAAACGTGTATGCAGGAATGGATGATCTTTCTGAAAATAGTAGTCAAGATGGCTCAGACAAGGAAACTCACGTCAAAAAAGGTCACAAAGCGACACGGATGAAAGACATACAAACATCAGATGGAGAAAAGAAACCTGTTACATTCAATCGTTATTTTGAGGCAAACGGGCCAGATCCAAAAACTAAGAGCAAGTTTAATAGCTACATCGCCCTTCTAGGACGTAGCAAAGTCAGCATCTTGATACCGGATTGGAGAAAAGTGACTGATAGGAATAAAGAGCAAATTTGGCAAGCTTTATCGGTATAATTTATCTATTTTATGAAAACACAATAGTTTTTAATTGAATGCTTTAATGATTTATTGAGTTGTACCAGTTATGTGATTAAAAATTTAATGATTAAATATTAATTATTTTTTTATGAATCTTTATATTTTTAGGAGCACTATGAATTGCCAGATAAAGAGAAATTGAGAAAGAGAGTGTTTTCACGTGCTGGGGATGGTTGGAGGGCTTTCAAAACTAAGCTCAGTAGAGAATACATATTTGGAGAAAAGATTGGTTTGCTCCCGTATGACGATGGTTACCCTTTTCTGGATGCAGACACTTGGAAGGCTTTTGTTGCATCCCGTCAAACTCCTGAATTCTTGGTAAGTTAATATTATCATGAACATAAATAATCTCGAGTCTCCCGTACATTTGGCCATACAATTAAAGTTAAATTGTTTGGGGACATTTATATTCAAAAGTGCGTAAAACTATTGTTTCTGTTAACTTGTTTGATCTTTATGTAAGGATTTTTTGAGAGAAAATAAATGATAAGTGGATATTTGGGATGTTGAGTTGTTTTTCTTGATTGTGTTTTTAATCTATATGTATGTAGAAAATCAGAAAAAAGGCTCAGGAGTCACAATCTCATAATCTAAATCCGCACATATTATCTCGTGGAGGCTACTGGCTTTTGATGCAGAAGATTATGGACGAGAAATACAGGGCAAGAAAAGAGGCCTCCAGTGAATCATCCGAAATTATTCCACCCCCATCTCCTCCTTCTCGTCATGAATTATGGAAAAGA